AGATAGATAGATAGATAGATAGATAGATAGATAGATAGATAGATAGAATTCTTTACTGGCCAAGTGTGATTGGACACACAAGGAATTTGTCCTGGTGCAACTGCTTTCAGTGTACATAAAAGAAAAGATACATTAGTCAAGAGTCAAGAATCATAAGGTACAACAACACTTAATAATAGTCATAGGGTACAATAAACAATTAAATCATATTAGGAAACAGTCAATATAAATCGTAAGGATACAAGGAACGAAGTTACAGTCATACAGTCATAAGTGAGAGGGGATGGGCAATAAGGAGTGATGAGAAGATTAATAGTAATGCAGACTTTGTAAATAGTTGGACAGTATTGAGGGAATTGTTTAGCAGAGTGATGGCGTTCAGGGAAAAACTGTCCACTGTTCTGGTGTGCAGTGCTCTATAGCATTGTTTTGAGGGTAGGAGTTGAAACAGTTTATGTCTGGGATATATATGCATTGTATTTGCAGAAAGGAACATTTTGAATTAACCCATAAACTGGGTTATTGAAATCTTTACAAAACACAGGATGGAAAAAGGAGTTGATATAGGAGATGAGCCTGAGGGAGACGTCAAACACATCATCAGTCATGAGTCCCTTCACACCCATAATAGATCTAAGTCCAGTCCACTTTGAATTCCTTTATATTCTTAACTCCCACTAATTTCTCATGAACGTTAGTAGTTCAGATTCTTGTAGAGCAGAGGTTCCCAACCCCTGGTCCATGGACCAGCACCAGTCCACGCCATGCCAGAAACTGGGCTATGCAAACAAGCGATGTTCAATTGGCAGAGTGCAGGCAGCACACGAAACCACTCCCAACCAACCCCCTCCAGTCCATGGAAGAATCTTACTCCACTGAACCAGTCCCTGGTGCCCAAAACAGTGGTGGGATTCAAAAAAATTTTTACTACCATTTCTGTGGCCGTGGCTTGGTGGGCATGGCAGGGGAAGGATACTGTAAAATCTCCAGTCAAAAGTGGTGTTTGTCAGTTTTCCGAACTACTCAAAATTTCTGCTACTGGTTCTCCAGAACTGGTCAGAACCTGCTGAATGCAGGTTCAAAAGTTTGGGGGCTGCTGAGAGCTTAAGCTTACAATAAATCTTTATACACATTTGAATTGCCTGGATCTCTTGATTTCTCTGGTACTTGACCGACAATACTATAAAGGGCAAAAGGAAGAAAACTTTAATCAAGACTTTAATACACACACAATCTTCAGGCCTTTAAGAGAGTATGAATGGAGGATCCAGGGCTTGAAAAGAAAGGAACTTAAACTAAACAGCCAAGTTGGAAGAAATGGGAAATTGAAATACAGTTATTACCCTTTTTTTTAAATGAACCTTTGAAATACTGAATTCCAATGAAAAGAGTTCCAGTTAATTCCAAGTGATGGAATATTCTAAGAAATTAGGAAACAAATTTATGTTATGCAATATTATAAAGTCATTCCTTTTTTAAAAAAATATAGTTTTTAAAAATTTATTAATTAAATTTATATACTGCCCATCTTGTTATTAAACTAACTTGAGACAGTTAATTCTTGGAATAAGTGCCAGTTTCACAGATATATACCATTCTTTTCATATAACAGTGCTCCTCATCAGGAGGTGTCATTTCTAGAATCTGGTTGCCATGAAATTAATCCTTGTTACATGCTTTGTTAGTTTCCTCTATCAAAATGTATGTATATTATAAGTTTCATCAAATGTATAAATATTATCCAGAGAAGCATCTGAACATCCTTAATGACAGCGTTGGAGGAACAGTAAAATGAGAAAAAAAGAAAAGAAAATGTAGAAAGGGCAGCTAATCCTAATGAGCAAAATAGGTGATACTTGTAAAACTATGACATGGCCATTTTAGTTTTAATCAGTAGATTAACACATGTGATATGATAAATATATTCAATCTGTGTTCTATCCTTGCAAAAGTTCAGATTTTTCACAATAAAATTGGTCTGACTGGAATGAGGAGATTTCTTAGAGGGACCACGTTCTGGCTCTGTTCCAGAGGTGGTATTGACCAGTTCTGGAGAACCGGTAGAGGAAGCTTTGAGTAGTTCAGAGAACCGGTGGTAACCTTTCCCCTGGAGTCGGGTGGGAATGGAGATTTTACAGTATCCTTCCCCTGCCATGCCCACCAAGCCATGCCACGCCCACAGAAGCGGTAGTAAAAAAAATTTGAATCCCACCCCTGCTTTGTTCCCTCCACATAATGAACCTGGTGAGCCAGTAACCTAGTCAGATCTCTTGGTCAATGATTTTAGTAGCCTCTATAAGAGTGGATGGGACTTGTGACCTTAACCAGTATTATAAAGATTCAGGGGCTTCCAGCAGAAATTAGAAAATTCTGTAATGGAGGTTGTAATAGCTTTTCCTGCTGCTCTATAACTCTTTTTCTTGGATAACTGATTGGGAAAGGGCCTTGTAGGTAAAAAACAAACCCAGAGCTGCTTAGGGTAAAACTATCCCTTCTTAATCTCCCAGATAATTGGGAGTAGCTATTTCCTTATTTACAGCGTTCCTGATGTGTTCTCTCAAATAAACCTACATCATCGTCAGGATAAAATGATGATCAGAGAAAACTCTTATTGAGTAAATATGGAAGAGAAATATAATAAAAAGGTAACATATTGGAGTTATCCAGAATATCTGCAAACCAGAATAGATTAATCCAAGAGAATTGCTGTATATCAGTTCAAATGCAGGTTTTGTTTACATTTTGAGTTGAAATATAGATTACAGTGTACTTATAATAAACTTATTTTATTTATTTTCTTGTTAATATTCTTATTTCTAAAGTAAGCCAGTTTTGTCCATAACTGGTGTCAGTTATTCCTTTCTTTCCTTTTTTTCTTTCCTTTCCTTCCTAGTATGGGACGAAAGCTGCAAAAGAAAGACTTACTCTTCCTGGCACAAAATACTCCCAGTCCAGATTACAGCACCTTTATTTGAAAGTGAATTAAAACAAGAGAATTGCATCATAATCTAATTACTCCATACTTTATGTATTCAATTGCCAATAATTATATTGATAATTTGATATTAAAGAAAACAATGGGATACATTTGCATGTATAGATAACATCTTGCAGTTAAGCCAAATGTATGCCTTCTTGATTGGACATATCTTTCCGAATGAATAATTTTTTATGTAATATATTTTCCAGATTAGAACAAGAAATAGGAAAGCTTGAATGTGAAGAATCCCAAATATCTGCCAAAGAACAGATCATCTTAGAGAAACTAAAAGAGACAGAAAAATCTTTTGAGGATTTACAAAAGGTAAGCTGAAAAACAAAATCCAAACAGCTTCATCTTAAGAGAAAACTTTTCTTTCCAACTACATATAAATAGAGATAGGTAATAATGAAGAAACTCCACAGAAGAATGGGGTCAGATCAGATAAGTCAATAGAAAAGTAAGCTTTATTTGTTTATTAAATTTGATTCCTACCTTTAACACTAATTTATAGGCTATATAGAGTGGCCAGATATTTAAGCTAACCATGAGAAGGTTTTGCCTTCAACATATGGGTTTCATTGAAATGATAAAAAGGTCAGTACAACACAAAATGAGATTTAGTGGCTAGATACTTACTCAAAAGCAAGTCTTACAGAGGTCAGTGAAGTTAACTACCTTCCCACAGGCAAGTATCATTCTATAGCAGCTTCCCTAACTTCAAATCCATTCCTTCTATTGCTATATTAACTGAGAAGATGGGCCTTGTATTTGAAATATATCTAGGGGGTGCCAATTTCAGGAATGCTGGCTCATTGGTCCTGCAGCTTGAGTGTTGAAAAAAAAATCACTATATGACTGATAAGTGGAAATAGAATGGCTTATATATTTAGATATTACCGAATGCTATCTAGTTTACCTTGAAAATTTAAGATTAAATATTCTAAAGTCCTTGTTTGGTATTAAAATTGTTTATACAGATTATTATTATAATCCAGAAGCACCAAATGGAGATTCATTCTGCAAAAATCTTTATGTTTAACTGCCAAGAAACTTCAGAGATTCCAAGTGGCCCCATGTATAAAATTACTCATGATACTGTCATTGATTTATGCATTCACTGAAGAGTTTGTTTTTCCAAATAAGCTGTTAGGATGTTGAACATATTTAGGCAAAAGAAGAAAGTAAAATTTGAACGTATGCAGCTAGCAATAAAGAAATTCATAATATCCTAGAATATTATTAACTCAAGTGTTCTCTTTCAATAATTCTTCCTTTTTCCAAGTCAGATAAAGTTATGGGACATTAACTTCATCAAATTCAAATTAATTCAATTAATTGTTATTTTTTTCTGGTCCTCAACCAGAATTTCTCACATTTCAGTTAGAAACTACACAGGTAAAACTTTATAATCTAAAAATGCACCACAGAAGAAAGAATATTGATAGAGAGAGGAGAAAACAAAATTTATGCACCAGCTCTCACTAAGTTCTTACAATATCTGGTTAGATAGAAATTGTTCAGGAACAATGGAGTCAAAAGGAACTTTTCTCTCAGTAACATCAGTGAAATGACCCTGCTTCCTACCCCTGCTCTGACAGAATGAAGCTACACTTCATTTAGTACTTAATTAAGATACTTAAAATGGAATTTACAGTGTGCTGCATTGGGGGAGGTCATTTTAGGCAGATGAAAGCAATAAACTTGATCTGAATTCAGCACAGACTCTGTAGTTCCCATAGTAATAATCCACAAATTACATTGATTTCACAGCAGGATCCACATGCATAGCTATATTCTGGAAGAAAGTTGAAATATTCATCCTGCCCAACAGGAGCAGAAATCGTTCTTTCTCTCAAAGAAACTTCCATTTTAAAATTAAGGCCATGTAAGACAAGGCTGTTGGGATGCTGAACATATGTAGGAAAAAGAAGAAAACAGAATTAAGCAAGATGGATAGCATAAAGGTTAATTAATTAATTATTTTATTATTACAAAGAACATTTATGAATTCTAAGGAAGTGTTGGCACCTAGACAAACTTCTGTTGCTAGAATGAAAGAAGAAGAGCATGTAAATTAAATTTGGGAGATCTCACAGCAGTGGGAAAATGAATGGATCATTAGAATTAGAAGAACTTTATTGTCATTGTACAAGTACAACGAAACTGTGGATGCACCCCAGCAACTGTTCGCAATACAATGTACTCACAAATAAGATCAGAAACAAAGTATTGAATAAAGCATCAGTGGAAGAGTTGAGCATGAATATAGTTGAGCAAGAGAAAACATGTGCATGAATTATATTTAAATGTAAGCCTAATCCCCACCTGTGATTAGCTCCAAATGGGACCCCTTAAGAATGGCTTCCTGCCTATTCCTGTTTTATAGGATTACTGTAAATAATATTAATATACTATGTGCAAAGCACTTTGAATATATATATATATATATATATAAATATAAATATAAATATATAAATATAATATAAAACTAATTTATTCCAATGCTTTGATATTTCAGAGTTTTTCACACCAAGATGGAGGTAAGTAATTTGGTTTGCTTTTGTACTTGTTATCTGTAACTATAAATTATTATATGTGAGCATTTTATTTACTACTTTACAACTTTTTAACATAGATAGATAGATAGATAGATAGATAGATAGATAGATAGATAGATAGATAGAGATACAGATACATATATAGATATACATATAGATATAGATATACTGTAGATATAGATATACTAAGCTTCAAAATACTCTTGGCCAAAGAGAGAATAAGGAATAAAGCTTTTTCAAAAGTCCTTGATATCAGCAATAAGCTTTCTTTAGATTTCATGTGCCATAGCTCAAGATAAACCCTATTCTATATATTATACCTGAGAGCACCAGGGCATATGTATATAAGTCAAGGACTACCTGTATAAGAGGTGTGCAGATCCCAGACCCTTGACTGCATCAGTACCAAAAGTAAAAAGTGCTAGATCATATCCAGGGCAAAAATTATAGTTTGAGCTAAAAGGGAAATTACAATATTAAAATCAGAAGTAATTGAGGACGACTACTACAGAATGTTGAGGACATGGCATAGGAAGAAGTTGCCAAGGCATGTTTGTTAGGGACAGACCTACCTGATTGCTTTCTGTAAAACACATTGACACAGCAGTCCTCGAAAGCACACTTATGAAGGAGTGGCTTCCAAAAATTCTGTGGAGTTCTGCCCTGATAGCATATAGAATCATTTGGGTCTGGGTTCCACCTAGATAGTGCATGCATACCCATGTGTGTGTTGTGTGTGCGTGCACACACATACAGAGAGAGAGAGAGAGAGACCATATATTCAAATGGCATGCCCAGATAGCCACCAGGCAAAAAGCAGGAGACCATGTGCTCAAGCCCTACCTTAGCCATGAAAGTCACCTGGATAAATATGGACCAGTCACTCTCAGCCCAACCTACCTCACAAGGGTGTCATGTAAAAGATAGGAGAAGGAAGGTACGTTGGTTATGTTTGCAACCTTGAGTTATCTGTAAAAATAATAAAGATGGGATACAAATACATACATACATAACCCACACATACATTCAGACAGACAGACAGACAGACATATTGTTCCCTTTCAGATGTATTGGGCTTCAGTCTTCAGAACTCCAGACCAGCATGGAATTGATATTGTAACTTGTAAGATTCCAGAATTCTGAATTTACAAAGAGGCCATGGTGCTCTGTAACACATTTCTGCTGAGGTGCAAGTTAGGCTGTTAGTCATTAAAAACAGCATGAGTTTCATATCTTCAAAGGAGGATAAGAAGCTATCTGTACATCTCCAAATGGATAAATCACAACCGAGTTCTAAAACTAGAGGAGGTTTGTTTAAAATAACCAAGAAGGAATTGCTTGCCGAATTATGAGAGACATCATGACTCAACACATTGCTGTTATCAATTACTATTCAATAACATGCTATGCCCAGATATGTACCCTGAATTATGACAGTTTTTATTGGAACAGTTTATTGGTTATAGTATACCATTATGTATAAACCTTTTTAACAGTACTTTTGAATCTGTATACTGAAACAGCAATAATCACGATATAACAACAGTACTGCCTAGGTGCAATTTAATCTTATAAATCATAGAGTTACTTGAATATCCTTTTATTGCTAATGAATACTAGCATAAGTTGAATTGCCCTGAGGTCATTCTGCATATAAGTAGTCCTTGACTTATGACCACAATTGAGCCCAAAATTTCTGTTGCTAAGCAAGACAGTTGTTAAGTGAGTTTTGGCCCATTTTATGACCTTGTCACAATTATTAAGTGAATCACTGCAGTCGTTGAGTTAGGAGCAGGGTTAAGTGAATCTGGCTTCCCCATTGACTTGGCTTGTTAGAAGTTTACCAAAGGTGATCACATGACTCAGGGACACTGCAGCTGTCATAAGTATGAACCAATTGCCAAGCATCCGAATGTTGATCATGGTACCATGGGGATGCTGCAATTATGAAAATGTTCATAAGTCACTTTTTTCAGTATCATTGTAGATTCAAACAGTCACCAAACAAACTGTTCTAAGTCGAGGACTACCGGTGTATTGTTTTAAGAAAGAAAATTAATAGCACAATAAATAGGCATGATGTTGCAAGGCTCCTCCTCTAAAATTCAGCACATTATCTCTTCTACCTGCCGGTTATTAATGAATTGTTTGTTCTATAAACTAGCTCCTTTAAGGCAATTTAAAAATAATATCCCAAATTAAAGAATCACATAAGATTCTCATGCAGACATCCCAGCAGTTTTACAAGGAAGTTTGTCCACTACACCAGAGAAATATCAAGTCTCTGTTATAATTATTTGCATAGATTACATTCGGAGTTATGCACTGCAGCAAACTTGCAAAGTGAAAGTAGGAAAGAGCATCCTTTGTGTGGAAGGAGTAATAAAATGAGAATTAATTTAAACTGGAGATGTAGCAAAAGGCTGTGGAGTCTTATGATTAATCATCTCCACTTGTGCTGTCTGTTTGTTGCATGACTGTTTGGCATGACTGTGGCATGACTGTTTGTTGTGGAGATTCTAGAAATTGTTGTTTTAACCATTCGGTCATGTCCGACTTTATATGCCTTTTTTATGTGTTTTGTTTTTTGGATACATCATCCTTTAATAAATTTGTCTGGAATGTATTTGTTATAATTGGTTTAAATTGCCCTCTTCTATTTATAGCTGGTGGCATAGCATTTAATTGTTCTCCTTTAAAACTCAATTAATTCCTCCAGGAAAAAAAATGAAGACCTTTTAAAGTAGCCGTACAAACATCTTTTTTAGCTATTGGGATGAATTGAATTATAAATGGTGTATGGACCGTATATGGTAACTGTCCAGAATCTAAAAATCAGCGAAGAAAAAAAAGGAATACAATCCTTTTGGTATAGCCATGATTTAAAGGGAATTACTCAACTATGTGTGCTGCACATAATGAATCATAAGATTCCTTGGTAAAATGGGAAGAGACCCTTTTTAACACTATCACATTCTTTAAAATAACATGGAGCTGCTATCAAGCTTACCCTCATATGGCCGTGGGTTTATGTGAACAACAAAAGAAAAACCAAGACAGTTTTTCAACAGCCCTATTTTTGCAGGGCCACTCGAGGGCTTATCTGTATCAGCAGCAGAAATAGAAGACTAATCTTCTGTTGACCTTTTCTTCTCTGTTCAAGTGACATCGTTAACTGAAGCATTCAGTTTAAGGTTAAAATTGTTACTGACCAGGTTATATGACTTTCTGATCTCCCCCTCATGGCCCAGTAATATGTGTTGGGCTGTGCTGATGGGGCTAATTTAGATGATCTTTGCTGGTGACTGCCTCATCTCTACACCCAATTCAAAATGCTTAATCTCAAATATAAACACCTTTAATCTCCCTATTGCAATATGATATTACCTAACCATTAAGAGCCGCCTTAAAAATCCTTCTCTGCCTTAGCACTATATGAAATTAGGAAAATGACAACTTTCATCTTTTCTATACTGCCATTCTATCTTTGAAACTGATTACCCATGTAGCAGAAGCAAGTAAATTCTTACAAATGAGCTAGATTCAGCCTATGCAGACTTCTTGTTCAGCTCATTATTCTGATGCAAACATAAAAAGATGTACCAAAACTTTCTAGGTACAAACATCTGTTTGCTTCTGAACATAACATTCAACCATAGTTAACTTGTAAATGTACCAACAGTCTCTGTTCAACAATGTTCAAATCATATTATTTACTATATTGATTTATGAATGAATGAATGAATGAATATAACTTTATTACAGTCTTAGACCAGCAATACACATCACTATTTACAATATACACTGTACATAAAAATACTGACACAATATAATACATTAATAGTGGATAAAAACATCCATTAAGAAAATACATGTTCTCAAACAGTTAGGGGCACTATATTGATTTATGTTACCCAATAAACATTTAACCTGTACAGATAGTTCATACCTCTATTAACCCACACATTGAATATAATAAATAAATAATAGCTTTTATGCACATGGAAAGAAAAAAAAACCATAGAACTTACCCACCACACCAATTGTAGGAACTAAAGCATTTACTTAAGCAAAGATGCTATACAGAGCACCATACTGTTTTTCCATGTTTTACAAGGCAAATTACTGTTTGATCCATTTCATTTCCAGAGGTCATTGACCTGCTGGCACATGGAACCTCCTGACATGATTTCCACCCATATCACTAAAAACAGTCTTAGTCATCAGGTCTTTCTCTCCCGCCTCAGCTAGACTATTGATTGGCAATCAAAGCACACTGATTCTGCATTTTGCTGCTTTAATTCAGTTATCTGGCACAAAGCTTCTGATGTCTATTGTTTGGGATAATAAATAGAGGACACTGCTGCCTAAGCAATGAAGCCTCTGGGGTCTTATTTAACTGTATTTCCCATTCTTTGATGACTAGATGCAGTAAATTACATTTACTCCCAGATCCCTGAACTCACAACTCTCTATTCACAAGCAACAGAGACTGTTCCTGGGAAAGACAGAACAAGCAGGGTAACTGGTAAGTCTCAATAGAATTTGGGTTTATTCTTTCAGCAAGTCTGATCTTTTTAAAAAGTAAAAGAAAAAAACATGTTGGGTTATCTGCGACTAACAACCAGCTGTATTTTGCAGAATAGAGAAAGGATAGCTAGCTAATCATTTGGCAGACACCACACCTAAACTTAAAGAGACTTGTTGCATTTGTTCATAGGCTGAATGAGCTATTATAGAATAGAATTGTTTTGATTTGTTTTTAACAATTGTTAACAGGCAGACAATAGAAAACCTAATATTATGGTTTATCTATTTAAAAACAAAAGCAGTAAGAGTATTTATGTCCACAAATAAAGTTTTTGTCAAAAATTAATTCTAACTTTCCAGCAAATTAACATACTTAATCATGTTAATTGTTGCCTAATTTACTAATGGCTTCAATTTTATTTCTCATTCATTCATTCAGAATTAAATTTAAATCCAGTGGCACTTATTCTCATATATCTGTCTACATTTCATTGGTTTCAATTATTTTTAATGATTTGTTTGTAAAAAGCACCATTTGCGTTTAAGTATTTCAAGTTTGATGAAGCCATTTGAAATTGTTATTTCTACCATTCCCCATTTAATGATCCCAGAAGCTGTTATTTAATTATTTCCTCATGGGAAATACATTTGAGATAGTGGACCCAAATATATTTGTCTTAAGAGTGAGTGCATATTTGAAAGTGTTGAAAATTAAAAATGAACCAACCTCTCTACTAACAAATGGAATTGAGGAAGGGTCCCATTCTCATGAAACCTGAGTAGAACATTATTTAATTATATAAGCTAATAAACACAACTGTGGGTTGACAATCATGCAAGCAAATCCAAACATTTTCTGAACTATACAATACTGAATGAGCCCAGATTCACAGAGATTGTGGCTTTCAAATGCACTGTCACTTTAACAAATCAGGAATGAACATATGATTAAATATGTTTTTCAATATGAGAAGCACAGTGTTTACCAGTATGGAACTGTTCAATCTCTTGAAAAAATAAAACCCCACAAGCCCTTATTGGGATTCTATTATATATATTTATTTTTAGAGAGATTCTTATAATTAGTCCTCATAGGATGAAATATGGACAAAGGGATTTAGATGCTAATGTTTCTATGGGACCTCCTTCAAGGAACATCTCAATTGTGTGTTTGTGCAATGGATTGATATTTGTCTTTTCTGCTGTATTTTGTGCCTGGATCCCATCTTATTTTTGTTTGTTGTGGATTTTCACATATTATATCTGTCCTGCTCTCAGTCAGTTGGAATCAGGCAGTGCCCAAATTTACATAAATAAATAAAGACAGGGTATCCCATTAAGTCAAGATGCTAAGTACCAAAAATACTATTTACTCTCTTCATTCCCGGTATTAAAAATATAATAGTAACACAGAAAATAACATTAATCTTCTCTTTTATGCCACTCAAAAATTCAAGTGCTAAAGATGGCATAATTCTCCTTCACATAACTCAAGAGGAGAGCCAAAGTGCTCAGATAAAAAAGCAACCAGCTTGCTGCTTACTTTACCTCACAGGAATATTTTATTCCAAAAATTATACAAAGGAAAATATGACTGCTCATATTATCTCCAAAGCTTAGATATAAGCATGCCCAGCAAACTTCAGATAGATGAGATCTCTATATAAAATGGCTACTATTGAGGGATCCGTGGTTCTGAGTTTGGTTGTTTTCTTGAAGACATTTCATTACCCAAATTAGATAACATCATCAGTGCCATCTGTCAGAAAACCGCCAAGCTCAGACAGCACCAAGGATCCCTCATGTCAGCACATGAGCTATAAATATTCTCCTTTGTTGGTACTGCTACTTTTCTTTGTCTTTGCTTTAGCTTAAAAAGAACCTGTGAACTTATAGGCCCCTACTAGAGTTTTTCCCTACAATATATGCTTGCTTGTTTGGATAAAAATAGTTTATGAGTGAATGAATGAGTGAACAATCCTCATATTAGTTATCTTTGTGATATATAGATAGCAGGCCTAAGAATATAGAGCATGAATTAAGACCTATTGAACTCACTGGGTGTTCTGAGTTGAACATCCATACATTACAGTAATAGGATAACAACATTAGTATTTGGAATATGATCATTGTGTATAAAATATGTAAATATTTAAAATAAATGAACATTCAAATGGTCAAGTAACTCAGAGTACATTACATCAACAAAATCCACATAAGGAACCTCTGGTCCCCACAGGGCAAAGACTGGGGTTCTTTTTATAATCAGTTGTTGAAAACAAGCAACAGTGGACATCTGCCTTTGTCATTAGATTTAGAGCCAGAACTGTCGTTTATGCTGATTGGCGGATACACAGGTTATATCCACCAAGACATCTGGAAGTACAAAGTTATATACATCTGCATTAGAATTTTGGTGTGATATAGCAAGACAATTTACAGAAACAGGCAGGCCACTTTCTACACACTTCAGGAAAGTGACAAAACATCAGTGGATTATTTGGGGGCAGGGAGGGCAACATTTGGTTGACATCTGTAATACCTCTGTAAACCACTTTCCAGTTGCTTCTGTTAACCTTTATCAAGATCTTCATTTTTTTTTCTAACAGATTACGTAAGCATTTATTATAATACTGTTATGTTGTACTATTAATTAATAGTATTTTCTGATTAAGAGTTGAGTTGAAAATTTGAGACCAATTAATAGCTTTTAAAAGACAGTAGTTTCAGAGATTACCAGCAGTCAGTTGATACCCCTGTATTATCCCTGGAAAATGTATTGACTAAAAGCTTGCATGAAATGTTCCATTCATGGGCTAAATTCTTCAAAAGTTTGTCATGCGACATTTATAGATAAGTTTGACTGTGGTGTTAGTTTTAAACTGTCCCCTTCCACATTCCTCTCAGTAAAGTTTCTATATATTTTCGGGATACGTATTGCCATCATTTGATGCATATGGTAATGAGAAGTAACTTGCACGTGTGAATGACCCATCACAAATGGAGGTAGTCCTTGATTTATAACCACCATTGAGCCCAAAATTTCTTTTGCTATGCGAGACAGTTGCTAAGTGAATTTTTCCCCGTTTTACTACCTCTCTAGCCACATTTGTTAACTGAATCACTGCAGTTATTAAATTAGTAACACGGTTGTTCAGTGAATCTGGCTTCCCCATTGACTTTGCTTGTCAGAAGGTCGCAAAAGGTGATCACATCACCCCGGGACACTGCAACCGTCATAAATATGAGTCAGTTGCCATGAATTTTGGTCATGTAACCATGGAGATGCTGCAATGTCTGTACATGTGAAAAATGGTTATATGTCACTTTTTTCATTGACTAATAGTCTAATGGTCTAACTTCAAAAAGTCACTAAATGAACTGTTGTAAGTCGAGGACTATCTGTATATTATCACAGAGAATGACAACAGAACACAGTACTTTCCATGAGTCTATGAAGGCTTTTCTTCTAGTTACTACATGCATTATGATCACATCTACTGTATTGCAGTATATTTAGCTATATTTAGTCATTCAGTAAGAAATTAAATGGCATGTGCATCTATGAAGCAGACCACACTCAGATGAGAAAGTGGAAGATTATATATATTGATATACTGATATATAGCTCTAAAAGGCTTAATTAAAACTCCCATACTATTTTTCATTTCTGTTTTTTCTGTTCCCCCTAAGCATTCATGTTGCTTTTAAAGCTAGGTGAATTGGAGTAAATATGAAACCCAAGATGATTTTTTTTTAAAAATTAGATGATGAAAAGGTCCCTTTCCTTTTAGGGAGGCCTGGAATGGGAAAAGTAACTGAATCTTAAGTGGAATTGTTTCTAAGAGGTACAGTAGAAGCTCCAGGGAGCAGATATAGGTACTCTGCTCAGTTTTGTTAAGTTGTACAACGATAAACAGTTCAGGAAGGTTTGCATTATTTTCTATACTTGCATCTCTCTCTCTCTTTTTTTTTTTATTGGTTTTTAAAAACAAACATAAACAAACAAAACATAAAAACATCAAGCTATCTTCCATAGGTGTACATACAGTGTGCCGGTTAGTTTACAAATTGTTTTGTGCTTCCATTTCGTAGTCTTCAATTACAATTACATTACGTATAATCTCATATTGTCAATCAAAAATTAAATACCTTAGTATCATTATTAATCAATCATTTGACTATACTTTTATTCATTCATGTTTTACAAGATAACCATAATTTACTTAATTTATTTTATAACAGTTCATATTATCATCCCAAATCTATCCTAAAATCATTCTGTAGATATAATAAGAAAGAAGTACATCTTCATATATTTATTATTTTCTAAAAATCTACATATTTCATTACTGTACTTTATTGTCTAACCATTGGTAGAAAAGATCCCAAATTTTATAAAATTATTGCATCTCTTTTTTGTTTGTTTGTTTCTGCTGGTGATGGGATAAGAGCCTATAAATAACACTGAAGCTTTTACCACTGAAAATTTCACTTGTACTGCTCTTCTTGCTTCTGAGATTGTGCTAGGGTACAATAATCCCTCACTTTCAAACATTTCTTTGCTACCAAGAAGACTAAACAATTGCTTTGTTAATTACAGCCCTGTTTCTTAGAAACTGTCTTCTTTAATACCACATTCTGTGGCATTTCTGTACACACTTGCAGAATCAATGCCTATGCTCAACCTTAATAATGATGCATATATCAGGATATTTATATTTCCTGTCCCGCCCTCTTGCTGATGCTATATATTGTGGGTGAAACCTGTAGCTTCTAAGTTGTGCAGTAACTCACCCTGAAGTAGAAATTCAAGTGATGTTTTTTTACTGTGCTTCACTTCTGAAGGAAATATTTGGCCAGTATAAGAGGAACTCTCCAGGTTATTAAATATCCCCATGTAACTTTTAGTCAGAATTTGGACGATGAGCATATTTACTATGTGAACAAATTCAATAACTTAGACATTATGGTAGACCTGCTTGTTTGTCACCCCCTAGTACAGAAAATATTTAAAAGTTATCCATTCACTAGAAAAGGACTGGCTAATGCTAGTTGCATCAACCTTGTTAAGATAACAATTGCTTGACTTCACAGTTTGCATCTCTAACATAGGCTGCTTGGGATTTTAGATCACAGCTTCTTTGGGTATATAGTTGTCTGCTTGTCTGTTTGGCAATTAACCATTCACATGCTTCTTGCTGTTGTAACAAACACTTCCTCTCTTGTTTCCATTCAAGCTTTGTACAGCATGGAAATTAATGTGGAGAAAGACAAACAAACTGGAGAGACCAAGATTCTCTCTACGTCCCCCATTGGCCCCGAGGCTGCCCGTCAGAGAGGAATCAAAGTCTATGATGATGGTACCAAAGTAGTCTATGAGATGCATTCTGGAGGCACGGTGGTAGAAAACGGAGTACATAAGTTAAGCTCAAAGGACGTAGATGAACTTATTCAGAAAGCAGGGCAATCAAGCATAAAAGGAGGGGCTCTATCAATAGTGGATGGAAACCTCAGCCACATGAAGGAACAAATTCTTTTTAAGGAAGCAAAACTAGAGATGGTGCACAAATCCGGCAAAAGACTTTCCGGGAATCCTCCACACCAAGTAAAACTTTCTGGGGATGAAATCCCAGAAGCCAGCTCAGATCACCCAGTAACAATGATATTTATGGGTTATCAAAATATTGACGATGAAGACGAGACCAAAAAGGTATTGGGCTATGATGAGACAATCAAGGCCGAACTGGTCCTTATTGATGAAGATGATGAAAAATCATTACGTGAGAAGACAGTGACTGATGTGTCGACCATGGATGGAAATGCTGCTGAGTTAGTTTCTGGGAGGCCCTTGTCAGACACAACAGAGCCCTCTTCCCCGGAGGGAAAAGAAGAAAGTTTACCAATGGAGAAAGTCCCAGGTACAGAAAAGAAAAAGCGCTGTCAGTGCTGTATTGTCATGTGACCATCTCTTCCTTCCTTCTCCCTCCTCCTCTTCCTCCTCCTTCTTCTTCCGAGCAGCTCGTGCTCCATCACTCCCTTAGACCTCACTGTATTTTTCTAACTGCAGTACTGTGAACTGGAAGTGACTGCCTCCATTGCCTTGCAGTTGGTTTGCTCTGATTTTTCTAACTTGTCAAGGGAGATGAGTAATGAAAGTACAGACTTCTCACCAAATGCACTCTTTTAGGATTATTTTTAGAGGGTGAGAACAAAAACAGTGAACAAAATGCTGTTCTATTTGAAAGATATCTCTATATCAATATAAATATATAATATATGAATATGCATAGTTGAATCTGTGTAATATGCATATTTATGTATTGCATATATTTATTAAACTTATAAACGTATATGAAGAATTTTACTTTATATAACTAGCAGGTATGATCACCTCCAAGGTTTTACAGGATTCCTAAGTTTCACATATGTGAGCCTTAAACTGCATTTTAATGTTGTACGTTTTTTAAGAAACAGGTTTTATTTTTTACTGGGGTAAGGGAAAGACATTTGATCATTTTGTTTGAGATCCTAATATTTCAATTTTTCTTCCCCAAAGAAAGACTTTGTTCTAAATTGGGAAGCTGTTTCGTAAGACCTGTTCCCATATAAGCCCCAATAAAACCGTTTAGTCTTGAGGACAACGTACAATGGGGTCAACCCAACTAGCATCATGTTGACTGGAACCTTCCTTTATTTTGCTCAGGTTTCTGATGGGCTCTTCTATAACGGTCATTGAAAGGAATGCATTTTGCACAGTCTCCGTGCTTAGCATTCCCATATAGTTGGCTTCAATGAGGCTTGTATGCATGCAAGTGTGGATCAGAATTCAGTTGTGACATATTTGGCAACACTGGAAATACCACACTGATTTCACTACTGACTGGTATTGCTAAACGTAATTGAATAATTGCCTAGGGAACTCGGAGTGATGATTTAGGGTTTTGTTTTCATTGTTTTATTTTAGCCTTATTTAAATCTTCTAGTTTTCAGTATTGTGCTTATGTCCCATCTCCCTACAGTCGAACTAAAATGAGTATGCCATGAAAATGGGTTAGAATTGCCAGGATTAAATTATTGTCACTGATTTTACTTGTTTGCCTTTCAGTAACAGTGCCTACTTATGTATATGGTCTGCTTGTCGGAACTGTGATATGTAAAAGATGATTTTGTGGTTTATATAAAATATGTACCCATGGCAATTGTCTTATGATCTAAATTTCCCAAAAAGAAAAAAAAGAGGAGAGCCACTTTTTCTCAAGAATAGAAGGCCCCCAGTTCTCAAAATGTCTTTAAAGGTTGTTATATTTGTCTCCCAGAGAACAGAAAATCAAAGTAGAAAAGCTAGCATTTTTATAATAGGTAAGCACCATATGAAGTACCATCATCTTCCAGTGTCTCCTTTAGATAAAATAAAAAAAAAACCCAGTGGGAATCTTAGCTTCATATTAGCATCACCAGAATCACTTTCTATGTCCTTCTGTTTGAATGTTTGGTTACTAAGGGCTCGTCCAATGTGTTATCTTCCCATTCTTGACAATAGAAAAAGTACCCACAACATACTTTGTACCACATATTGTCATTTAAGCCAGTAGTACTGCTGCCATCTGAGAAAATAATGTGGATTACTTTTAGGTTGGTGATTGGCTCTTCTCTTCGAAGGTTGGGAAAAAAACAGTTCTGTAAGACCTGTTCTGTAAATTCTAAGGAGGATAAAGAGAATTAATTACATTTTTCTCCAGGTAAAAGTTACTTCCACAACCAGTAAGTTTGAAGTGACAGCCCCCACCCTATGCCTGTTTCTTATCCTCCACACCAGCTCTCACCCTCATTTGCTTGCATTGCTCGTGGAACCTCATTCCCCCATTAGAGAATTGCCTCTTTCAAGATGGCAAAACAAGCTTCAATAGTTTTGATATTGAGTGTGTAGGTACTTAAGTTGTTATTCAAAACTTCTGCCGCCAGGTTTGTCCTCCTCCTTTGCACGGGAGTCTGCCAAAACCAAGACTGTGACAACTCATGGAATAAATTACAGGTCTGCATCCCAAATTAGATTGCACTTGCAAGAGAAGGATGTGATTCTACTCATTTCAGGAAACCTCAGCCCTACAAATAAAAGTGCATAGGGCAAGGCATTGCTGATGCAAATTGATTAAAAAACAATCCACTGCCTACAAATGTAGTCAAAAAAACAGCACAGTAAATCACAAATCGACACGTTTTCAAAACCTGATGGTATTTCCTAAGCAACTTTATTTCTGTTTTGCAGTAGCAATATTGATTTCCTCAAAGTTCATCAAGTTTGGAATGCATTCAGTTTAACCTGCAATCAATATTCCCATGTCCAAGCCTACCCCCCAAAAGAAAAATATGTGCCATGACAGTGAGGTATGGTCTCTCTGGCAACCACAGCAAAAAAAGGCCAAACCAGCCATCCAGATGGGAGAAGGGAGCCCTTCAGTCTCTAGCAGTTGCCAAACTCCAAAGGTTCCTCCTCTATGTTTAAGTGACTGTTTATGTTTAAGTTATATGGGAGGCTTAAGACTAAGATAGCAGAGAAAATACCGTCCTTTCGGGCACCTTAGATGAGCTTCAACCAGACTCAGTAATGGGCTCATAACAAGATGGAGGACTTATTGTGAGGACATGTCCTCAGCAAATGGTTAGTGGTGGGGCGTCCTTGCATCGAGCACAAATAGATGAGCTCTAAGTGTTAAGAGTAGGAAATTATGAATGACCACAAGAAGTACAAATTTCTTGCAAAACAGTCTTACTTTGCTTAAAAGTTCATCAAATTAATTTTTGTTTCATCTTGTAGAAAGGTGCTGCACATCATAAGTACCCATATAATTTAAACATTGCTTCTTTACTTGCTTTGTCTCATTATGCCTACTGAAACTTTGGGATATTTTTACCCAGGATTGACCCCAGGAAGAAATGGAAAAACACAGTTTCAGGGTAACAGGGTTTCCCTTTTGCCTTCTCAGTGTCGGCTGAGCATACAGCCATTATCTGACTATGAAATGTATTCCAATCATGAGTAAAAGTATCTCAAAGCTATGATCAAAGAATCTGTGGTCCTTCAGAGATTGCTGGCCTCCAGTTTTCATCAACCCCATCGGCATCTCCTATCACATCAAGTTCTGGAATAAATGGATATAGTCACATTGTACTATTTCTGCTCTTAATGCTACAAACAGCATGCCAGATTCTTTGGAAACGCAACCTTCCCATTTCAATCAAGAGCACGATATGGTCATTCCCTTCTCCCCAGAGAGAAATGGGCAGGAGAGTGATGAAGCTTGAGGCATGTTGCTGCTGTCTTTTGGGGAAGATTTAAGAAGGCTCCTTGTCTCAAGCAAGTATTTCAGTAAATCTATAGCAAACATGCTAATTTATTTTTTCCAGTCTGTATGCTCTTCTACATCTCTCGTTTGAAGCCTTCCATGGTTGAGTTCTGACATGCTTTTCCTAATTTTTAATATCTAGTTGCTATGATCCACCTCCAAAATGTTGTGGGATTCCATTGGAATCTGCAATAGAAATTTTGGATTGCCACTGGTTATAAGAGGCCTCACTGAAGGGTTTTTTTTTCCCTTAAAGTGTCAAACAGAAAGAGGCATAGGCGGAAAAAAAACAATGATACCTTGGTAAAAGGAAGCCTTCCAATGATCTGAGTCCTGCTGGCGTTTCTTCTGACAATTAGCTGTATCCATAAAATTTACAATAGATTATAAGTGAAGATTTCTAGTGACATCAAAATCATTTCAACTAAGGAAGAATTTCATGAATCCTATAGAAACGTACTAAACCAGCATTAATCTTGCTGGAGAAAGAAGTTGTCTCCTAATGTGTATCTATTCTCTCTCAGGTGGTGCTTTATTGTATTAACTCTTGAGTTTTAAATGTCATGTTGAACAACAATTTTCCTCTGAGCTCTTTTCTTTCTGTGTCATTAAGAAAGATGCCTGGTATCTTTTCAAGTGAGGAATAACAACAATCTGCAGTGAGATTTGCAAAACCACATCCCAATCTTAAATCTTAAATAAATTTGGAATTAATGTTGAACTTGAGTTCAGTTGAACATACTTCTGTACAAGCATGTCAGAATCATAGACTTAAAAAGACAGATCAGTCCACCAAAAGATAAATTTCTCATTTAAACTTTTTCCATTAAAAACTGTTTTAAAGCCACTAAATTTAGTCCTTGTTTAGCAACCACAGTTGTGACTGGCAACTTAGTCATTCAGTGAAGCTGTCACTGGGTGAAACTGCAAATCTGGTTATGATCTTACTTCAGTTTTTTTGTTTGCTTTACAGACCTGAAAACTAAACTAAATGAAGCAGTTGCTAAATAAGGACAGCCTGTACTCCATACACAAATCATAAAATAAAACAAATCAGACAAACTAATAAAAATAAACTTAAAGTTGCACAATATTGTGGTATTGTAATACTACACATTTCTACAGATAAATTAGGAAAATTATAATACATTAATAATGGTTATTATTTCATTATTTATTTTTATATTCATTTGATTGGCAATCTCAATTTTTGCAATATTACTATATTTAAGCTTCCTTCGTGCAATATCCTTCACCTAATCTTTCAAGTTATTCAGTAAACATTTAGTGAAAATTTGAAAAATGTGATAATCATGTACAATTCCTGTTAACATTTTTGCTAGGTAATACAGGTCAGAGCAAAGGTTAAAGGTTAGAAGTAAAGCACAAATATAGCACTTTTTCTGATAGAGCAGAATACTTTCAATTTTCAATTATCTTTAGTAAATTGTCAGCGTTCATATATACCATATATACCACATGCATTCATATATACCATGAAAGTTAAAGTAAAATTCACATGTAATCTAAAATGTAGATTATCTTATTGTTGAATGCTTATTTCTTCTCAAGTA